ATATGTAGGCTTAGGAAGTCACTTTATATAACATGAAGCAGTCTACTCGAGCCTAGGTTGACATGTTTAAAAAGGTTGTGGTGTGTATGAGATATCATCATATTAATGCAGATCATACAATATTTTTCGACAATATGAAGGTCACACTACTACACTTATTATGCTGTCGATGTCATCATTATCACTGGTGATGATAAGTCAGAGATTGCCCAACTAAAGATAAGATTGGGCAATGAATTTTAGATGAAGGATCTTGGATAGCTCAAATGCTTTTTTAAGATTGAATTGGCCTGTGGATCTGTGGGGATACTCTTGTTCTAGAGAAAATATGTTTTAGATCTCACAAAAACATGCACACTGGGGTGCGAATCCGCAGTCTCTTCAACTGACTAGAAGATTGAGCTGAGTGCAGAGGTAGGAAAACCAATTGATCGTAAGAGGTACCAGAGATTGGTGGGTCGTCTGATCTATTTGTGTCACACTCAATCTGACTTCTCTTTTGCAACAAGCTTGGTAAGCCGCTACATGCATGCTACATGCATGATCTAATTGATCTAATGAAGGGTCATATGGATGTAGTGTATCAGATTCTGAGGTACCTGAGGAGGGGTTGTTCTTTAGGAAGAATAGACATGTAGACATTGAGGGCTTTTGTGATGCTGATTAGGCGAATTGTGCAGATGACAAAAGATCCACTTAAGGATACTGTATGTATGTAGGGGGCAACTTGACTTCTTTGCAAAGCAAGAAATAGTCTGTAGTAGTGAGGTCAAAAGCAGAGGCAGTACAAGGTCATGACCTTTGGAATTGTCGAGATGATGTGATTGAGATTGGTTGATCAAGCTCAAGGTGAACCAAGGAACACAGATGAAGTTGTAGTGCGACAACAAATCAGCAATTAACATTGCTAACAACCTGGTGCAACACGATAGAAACAAACATGTGGAGATTGGTAGATTCTTCATCAAGAAAAGCTTAATAACAAACTACTGGAGCTAAGTCATGCAGCCACTAGAGAGCAAGTGATTCACTGCATTGCTAAGGGACTCAATTCATTAAATTTGTCTACGTTATGTGACAAGATGGGCTTAATGGATATCTTTTGCCCATCTTAAGAGGGAGTGTTGAGAATTGGACCTTATTTAGGGTCATATTGGTAAAAAGATAATATTGATCGAGTCTAGGGGTTTATTTGTAAAACATCGTAATATCTTATTTAAGCTCTTTCCAAATGTACAAAAGAAGTTTTAAGCCATTCTTTCTTGACTTAAATTCTAATAAAACTTTATTTATTTATTTTAGTGAATTGAGCCTATTTTATACTTAATGTTTTTATCAAAAATTTTAATGAACTAAAGGTGTGCAAGTTGTGGCAGCTGTTTTTTGAAGAAATATTTTACAGTTACTGTCAGAAAGTTGCTGTTGAAATAACGGTGAAGTTGTTATGATAATCTATTATGTTGCAGTTTTTTCTGATAAAAAGGACAGTTATGTTCTTGTAGATGTAAATTAGTTGAATGACTGTAGTCTTCAAAATAGTTTCTCCTATATTAGTCTATTTAAAATAATTATTACAATAAATTTTTTTATAAAATATTCATGCAAATTAAATAGATAAATTTTAATTAGAAAGTAATTTATAGGCAAATAATGTTTGCCATAACAAGAACTTTAACAATAATAAAAATATTCAAACATATTATAACTACCTTGTTTAATTTTTTTAATTGATAATGCATTCTGTTCTTATAATCACCAACAACAACAAGCCTTTATTCCACTCTTTATTCCACTAAGTGAGGCCCGGCTACATGAATCATTTTTCTCCATTGCATTCTATTGTGTCGTATTTTCATTAACTGTAATAAATTAAGATCATTTTTAACATGCTCTAGTCTTTCTTGGTCTACTTGTACTTTTCTTAATATAAATCGAATCTCAAACATTTACTATCCTAACGGGATCATCAGGTGATCGACGTTTAATGCGACCAAACCATCTCAGTTGAATCTATCTAATTTTGTCCGCCACTGGAGCTACACCGACCCTATCATGGATACCTTCATTTCGCATTTTGTCTCTAAGTGTCAAGCCACTCATATACCTAAGCATTCTCATCTCGGCAACACACTTAACTTTATTTATGCTTCTCTTTTAAAGGCCAACATTCTAGGCCATAGATCATTGTAGGTCTCACCATCTTATAAAATTTTTCTTTCAGTCTAAGCAGTACTTTTCTATCATACACTAGGCCCTAAGCATTCTTTTATTTTAATCAACCAACTTGAATTCTACTAATAACATCCCCATTTATATCACCAACACTTTGAACAATAGAACCGAGATATCTAAGGTGTTTATACCTTTTAATGATTTGATCACCATAGTTATAACTCTGTCACTAGAGACACTACTATTAAAATTACATTTCATATATTCGATTTCAGTTCTACTCAATCAAAGGCCTTTAGAATTCAATGTAAACCTCCATAATTCAAGTTTTTTCTGAACTTTTTCTCTATTCTTATCATCAGTAAAAAGCATACACCAAGGTACATCCTCTTATAAATGTCTAGTAAGAGCATCCATAACTAAAACAAAAAGATATGGGCTTAAAGCCGATCCCTGATGTAATTTAACTGAAATAGGAAAATATTTGGTCAATTCTCCTCCCGTTCAAACACAACTAACAACTCTAGTATATATATCTTTAATGACTTCAATATAAGTCATATCAACACCTTTCTTCTCTTGATCTCCAAAGGATTTCTCTTAGAATCTTACCTTGTAAGCTTTTTCTAAATCAATAAAAATCATATGTAGATCCTCATTATTCTCTCTATACTTCTCCATCAAACCTCTAAATAATTGTATAGCTTCCATAGTAGACCTGCCTAGCATAAATCTAAAATGATTATAAGAAATCTTTGTTGCACGTTTTAACCTATTCAATTATCATCTCCCATAATTTTAAACTATGACACATCAACTTAATTCCTTTATAATTTGCAAACTCACGTGCATCCCCTTTATTCTTAAAAAAAGGGACGATAATACTCTTCCTCCACTCCTCAGACATCGTTTTAGTTTTTAAAATAATATTAAAAACTTTAGTAAGACAATAAACTCCCAAATCTCTTAAATATTTCCACACATCATCAGGTCCTACTGATTTTCCACCATTAGTTTTCTTTAAAGTCTCAATTTTTTTTACTAATGCGTCGATAAAAACAAAATATTTTATTATTATTAATGATATTAATATCACTAAGGTCGATCACATTTTTAGAAACGTGATTGAAAAATTTATCAAAAAAGCTTACCCACTTATGCTGAATATTTTTTTTTCGAAGAAAAACATCGTTTAATTTTCATCTTTAATACACTTATTCGAGTTAAATCTTTATTTTTCTTTTCCTTTTGTTTGACTAGTTTATACATATAACTTTCACCCTCTTTAGTACCTAGTCTATTATAAAGATCACTAAAAATTGAATTTTTGGCATCACAAATTGTTCTTTTAGATTTCTTACGGGTCACCTTATATTTTTCCTAGTTCTCTAAGCTTTTACAATAAGGATCTAAGATTTCATATCAAGACTTTTCGACAAATTTTACGATGGTTGTCGACTACCTAACGCAACTCTCCACTTTTTCACATCTGAGACTTGGGACCAAACAATGACAGTGTTAAATAAATTGTTCTTTTAGTAATGTTCATCACAACTTGCGCAGGTATTGTAGCAACTTTACTTTGCTAATCATATTGGAAACGCCATACTTATTTTAATAATTTCAAATCTTTGGGAATTTGATATGTTGTTTAAAAGAAATGTTCTAAATTATTTTCTTAATATTTCAAATTTCTCGGATTATTCTTCTCTTTAATATATGAATATAATTCTTAACCTTGTAGCAGCTGTATTATAGTTTTCTAGTATCATACTTCAATTGCTTTCGTTTAAAATACAAAATTTTAATATTTTGTTAACTACCCTTTGTTTGTCTTACTTTTCATTGACAGTTTGAGATTACCTTAAACTTTTATTATCAGATATGATCTAGGATGTCTTTGGGCTTATAGTTTCTAATGCATATTTAGTATGAAATGAATAAAACCATACAGATACATACAATTCACTCGTCATGAACCCTTAATATCAATAATTATTTGTTACTTTTTTTTTTGAAATTGAAAATATTACGGAAATCAATGTAAATAGTAAATCAATATTTTAACAATCCAAAACCATGAAAATAGCATTCAATTAGTTGAAAATCATGTACCTGTAGAAATGCAGATTGCTGACTTGGTATAAACTATTTAGACATGCAAGCCGGTTACAAGTTTTGGGAACAAGACAGAATACAATGAAAAAAGTTGCCAAAGTAGTATAATCAAAGCTTATGCTTTTACAAAGAGATATATCTCTCTTTAAATTTTTTTTGACTCACTTGATTAATGATACAAATCTCAGAAGTGGAAGGAATATCATGTCTAATGATTTTTTTTTAATAATTTTCTACGAACTTACGACTTAAAAAACATACTTATCAATATGAAACAAAACCTAATTGAGAAAAAGTTTTGTATTCAAGCATGTAAACTTGCATCAACTGAATCAAACTAATGGTACTTGGTAATTTAAACTCAATGTGGGTTGGAACATTACAGTAGTCTCAGTTCTTCTGTCTATGCATGCGAAACTTGATTTTTTCTTATTCCAGTACAATTTGTATGTCAATCAATATCAATAGGCTTTGCTTTTCATAAGGGGTGAAAACATTACTGTATGCATGGGAAATTAAGGCAAAATAGTTTCTTAATGTGCAAATACGCTCATTCTGAAGGAAAGGATTACTGCAGCATTTCCACATCCATCATTTCATTGATTTGAATGAGTTAGAAGTAACATTTGACATTTCAAAGGTTGAACATGCTCCCAAAATTGTAATTTTAAATACAGCTTTTTTCATAATTTCTCTTCCCTCTTTATTAGGCCGTCATCTGGATGATACATGGATAGCACAAATCGGAGATGGATTTGACAGAGTCCTCAGTTGGAAGCAGGTTGGCTCAGGCACTCCTACAGGACGATTTGGCCATACTTGTACTGTCTTAGGCAGATTTCTTATTCTTTTCGGTGGCATCAACGACACCGGAGTGCGCCAAAATGATACTTGGGTTGGACAAATCATTCAAGAAGGATCATCAGTGACAAAAATAGCATGGAAGCTTTTGGATTTAGAACCAATTGTACCTCCTGCTCGTGGTGCGCACGCTGCTTGCTGCATTGGAGACCAAAAATTAGTAATCCACGGAGGCATAGGACTATATGGTCTTCGATTAAATGACACTTGGCTACTCGACTTCTCTGATGTCCAAAGTGCCAGATGGCATCAAGTTATAAACACTCGACCATCACCTCCCGCTCGTTCTGGTCATTCCATTAACTGGATTGGTGACAAACAAATAATTCTCTTTGGCGGAAGAGGAGTAGGCTATGAAGTTCGGAATGATTTGTGGATTCTAGACATCGAAGAAGACAATCGTAGATGGAGAGAGCTCAAGTACGATACGCCTAATATGCCAGAGATGCCCCTTCCTCGTGTCGGTCACTCTGCAACGATGATCATTGGTGGAAAAATTCTTATATATGGCGGCGAAGACTCGCAAAGGCATCGAAAAGATGACTTCTGGATATTGGATTTGGGTTCGTTATTGAGATATCAAACCACGGGTTTGAAGAAATACTTGAAAATGATGTGGAAGAAGGTAGAGGTGGATGGGCACCCCCCTAATTTTAGATCCTTTCATGGCGCATCGGCTGATGTAGCTGGAGTTCATCTCTTTGTTTTTGGTGGGATGGTGGATGGCATGGCTCATCCTTCTGAGGATTTTGGGCTGAGATTTGATGGTGAGCTGCACCTAGCAGAGCTTATATTCTAGTTTTAATCATGAAGGGCTCATCTGCAGAACTTGTTGAAGAATAAGTGTGCACATTTTATTGAAATCTGGCTGTTTCACTGTCTCTGTTGTTTAATCTCACTTCCCATGCTGCAGCAAGCTTCATCCCCTGATTAAAGTGGAGGGTATCTGAGGGCATTTGAAGCCGGGCCCACTGAATTGTTCTGAAGATTTATATATGGTCTGATCAGATGGTTCCATTTGTAGCTCAAATCTGTGATTATAAATGCCTATGATGAATTGCACCAACGCATGGGAGGCAAGTGGGAGCATCTAAGCACAGTGGATGAGAACATTAAATAAGCTTTGTGAATATTTTCAGCAGCCATAGCTTGTTCTTTTGAGCCGTTGATCCATTTTCAGTGAGTTTCTTTCCTTCAACAGCTAACTTTTTTGCTTTCTTGTAGTACTTGCAATGACAAATTTAGTATTTGATATTTAGTGAAAATAAGCTGAAAATAATGTAAAGAATTCAAAGGTGCTGAGTTTAAGTGCTCGCGTACTAAAAAAACAACAAATCCAGACTATCTTTGTTGCTAATGTCTGTTAGCTGATGCTGGCCATCACAACAAAGCAAATTATCACTCTATATTTAAAATGAGGTACATCAAACCACGAATGGTTTCAATTTCTAGTAGAAATTAATGATTTTAACCTTTTTACATTCAAAATAAGAGTTGTAACATTGAGTCAACTAATTCTTTTATATATATTGTAGTTAGATTACACATCTGATAAATAAACATATCCAAAAAAAAAAAAAAAAAATGCAATCCTGTAGTTTTTTTTATTATTTATATTCACTTAGAGCTACAGAAAAAGAAAAAAATTAAGGGTCTAAAAATGGGGCCCATTGACATATACTTTTGATAAAGGGAGTTTTGATTGGTTATTACAAGCATTTATTTCTGCGTGCGGTGAATGTACACAACCTTGGATTTTATGTCGCTCATAATAAAAAAAAAGGGCAAAACAATGGGCTTTTTGACCTGAGAATTATTGCTTCAAAGTTGTTCTTCCAGAAAGTTTCAATTTTGTTAAGCACATTTGCATGCATGGCAAACAAATTTTATGTATTTACACATCACACCTGAGTTTTAATATTCACACATATAACACTCAAATTTTTAATCACAAAAAAATATGACAAAAAAATAGTATTATTATCACTTCTTACAATTCAAGTATATTTTTTATGCATAATTTTAAAATACAAGGTGGTGTGTAAATATAGAAGATTAGGGGTCAGATATGTAAATACAAAAAAGTAGTATTATTATTTTCTTAAATTTCACATATATAAAAGTTTAGATTTAAAATATGAAAGTGCATAAGAATTGTGTGCTATGTATATAAATTGCCCTTTTTTGATGTCTCAGAAGGTCGATAAATTTTTTTTCTGGGTCTTCTGTGGTGAAGGTCTTCATCCATAAACATGGTCGTCTCCCTTTAAATTACTAAACACCGACATTAATGGAAGGCTTAACACTTGGCTCATATGTCAACACGTATTGTCTACGAATAACATTAAATATCACGTTATCCACATTTCACACACACACAATATCGATTTCTTTTGAATATATGAATCCTCCCGTGTATGGGGTGTAGTACGTGAATATGTAGTGCACCTAGAAATGATTGGGGCTCGTCTAATAGCCTTGGGTAATTCCTTTGAATATATATTATAATGTGTCGCGTGACGTGACTCTTTGGTTGACAGCTACACCATCAGTCGGGAGTCCCCTGGGCCAAGGGTTCACGGGTTCGAACCCGCTTGAGTGCATATATCTTTCAGTGCGGGATCGAGTAGCTTGACACATGAGGATGGTTGGGGGGCTCGTATCATTGCCTCCAACCAATCTTTTCAATTAAAAAAAATATGATCATTAGCAAAGTTTACATGGAAATTTAATTAAACATAAATATTAGCATATATTAACTACTAATTTTAAATATCATACATAAATGATCCTTTACAACGTCCGAGTTTAAATATTTGTAAAATTTATATTTAAGAGATTTCTCACTAGAAAATATTCATTATTGACATGCAAGACTTGAAGGCATCTAAACTCTATTTAAAACGACATCTGCTAAGACTATTTGGTGTAGAAAGGAATCTATTATCATTCTTTTATAGATTTATGATGTCAAGGTGGTATAAACATAAATAATTAAATTTAGATGATAGATATATAAATATATCAGAAGTGTGTGATATGTATGTACATTTCCCTGTAAAGCAGTATCCGATAAACTTTTTTAACATATCGACTGTAATCCATGCTGCATTTACTAGGCAAGAGTTGACAGACAGCAGCTACCGCAATGAGCATGTCGGAAACACATAAGTTTTTTTAAGATATTGATTGTAATCCTTTTATTTTTTTAATTAAATAGAAAACAAACCATTTATTGATTTCGGGTTCTACCCCCAACATAAGTTATTCATGCCGTTTGGGATATCATTCGGAGCAAGTACAACTTAATGTACTTGCCCTGAAAGGAGATCCTAGTGGCAATTCAAAATCTTCAGTTTTAGAAGTTTGTTGTGTATACGATTACAATAATCTTAAGTTGTGTATGTATGTTTGTCAATCTAACATAACCCATGTAATTTTGTAGAAATAAACGTAGCACACATCCAACACAACTTCGAGTGCAAGGACAGCGATCACCTACAAAAGATGTTCAGTGATATTTGAAAATCACGGTAGCACCCCTTGTGGCTTGGAGAAAATATTTTTGCCCCACTACTCAGGGCTTAAGATTCTCCGGAGTACCAAAAAAAGATAGAGCAGACAAAGTAGAACTGACGCTTGGATTGCGGAGGCATGGAAGCCTCCAAGAACACTAGTGGGGCGCTTTCATACAGAATACAAGCAGAGGATGGTATGATTCTATTTCATCTTTAAATTTTAGTATAAATCAAATACATTCTAAGCATTTCATTACATTGATTGACTATGGAGTTAGGATGAGAGCCCGTCACTGTCAATGTACAAGAGTGCACACATAGGATGCAGTTTGACCAGTCGTAGATTGACGACATATTCTGGGCGGCCCAGGTAAATCTTTAGCTAAACTAGTTTGATGTTTTTTCATGATCTAAATGTACGTATTTAGAAGAGATTTCAATAGCTGAAAAAGAGCTGATCGGAGGCATTGGGCGATATTATGATTAGAGATCGTGATATGTTCGAGTATGACATGTTGAGGGCGGCTGCCTTAAGGAAGAATAAGGATCGAGTTTATGGGCTTGAGTCTCAGATGTTCGTCTAAGACGCTGACCCATTCACCAACACTTTTGCAGCTTCTACTTATAATGCATAAGAGGAGGTCTCCAACCATGTTGTCGTATTTGCTTCTAAGATGGAGACTTGTTTCGATTAGATGAGGTCGGAGCTAGAGGACAATATGGAGGCCAAGTTAAAGGCCGAGTTAGTTATTCTGACAGCAGGTGAAGCAATGGAAGAAGCCACCATTGGAGAAGGGGAATGATAATGATGAGAAAACAAAGGAGAATTAGCGAAGACTTTTTTCATTTTATTTGTAAATGATTTTGTTGGATCATATATTCTCTTATTAAATAGTTATTTATGTATGTCAAATTAAATATATTTCATTTATTTTATGTTTGATTAAATAATTCACTATTCGAATGTGATTTTAGTATGTCAATTGCTTGGATTGATAAGCTGTGTTGTAATTACTGTAAATTTTATGTGTGCTAATTACATGTGTGCAATCATAAATATCAAAGAGGGGTTTTTTTTAAGCTATAGGTTTCTGATGGATAGTCATTGATTTCGTGATGATTTATCATGTAATTATCAATAAAATCGATGGAATAAACCGTTGGTTATGTTACCATCATACTACCAACAGTCAATTGACGGATCTGCTTCAATAAAAAGTGATAGATAACCGATGGCCTCATCATCTATTAAAATATTGACACACACTGATGCATAACCAATGGATCATATTGCATCATAAAATGATGGTTATGACACTTTACCTATGGTTATCTATCGGTCATTTCCGAAGATTATCTTGTTAATGATCAGAAATTGACAACAACTAATGACTAGCCCATGCTCATTGAATTATTCAAAAATGACGATCAATGTGTGTTAAAAAACCTTTGGTAAATAAAAGCTATTGGATGTGTCGTCGGTTAATAAATTACTGACAAACATTTTACCTACAACTTTAAAACAATTGGTATCCCACCTGAAGTAATAATTGAAAGTTTATTCATTAATAACTAATGGAATGTGACCGTCAGAAGTTGGCTAACTTCCGGTAGTAGACAAGAATGGAATTTAAAAAAAAAGAGAAGCATTTAAGTAATCATCCAAGGTGGTTATCGTATAGTTATGTTAGTTATGAAAACATGTAAGTATAAGTCATTTTTAAGAGGAAAAGACAAGGAATATGATGGTTCAAACCATTTTGAAAAAGGGTGTCTCGCTCAAGCTATGAGCATTTGATGTGGCTAAGTGATTAGGGAGGTGATTATAAGGTGGTTACGAGATAGTTATGAGTGATTATGTCTAAATAAAAGTATACATCATTTTGAAGAGGACAATACATGAAATTTAATGGTTTAAACTATTTCAGAAATAGACCCTTGCACAAGTTTTTAGTGTTTGAAGTGCATGGCTAGTTGTGAGGTGGTTAAAATGTAGTTGGGAGTTGGTTTTGGCCTGATTATCATGATTATCAATGGCTCGTTGGGCCTCCAAATGGAGTCACAATTAAGCGTATGACTCATTTGAAAGGTCTAGATGATATAGACATAATGGAAAAATCCATTTTAAAAATAATGACTCGTTGAACAATTTTTATGTAGAACCATTTTTGTTGGTGGAAACCTAAAGTGTACAATTTTACATAAAACGGTGTCCGATGATCACTAATTCGATTTTCATGATTTTTCATATGTGATTATGAAGATCATGCAACTTACATAATGTAATTTTTACCAATGGATTAACCTGTGGAAAATGATAGTCTTAGGGATTACAATGATGATCGTTATTCATGAAAATTTAACTTGAAGATTTTTACATAAAAATAATTATAGACGGTCGTCGAACTTATTTTTATGGTATTTATAAGTAATAAGAAGCATCGTGCAACTTTCAAAATGAATACTTAAGTTCAACAATCATCTTGGGAGAGAAAATAATAATCTCAAGGTTTTAGTGATTAAAGCTATTTTTAAAGTTATCCTTGAATTTGATTAAAATTATTTGTGCTTAAAAATTATTTTCATTTATTTTGATTTTTATCAAGTTAAAAATTTTATTTTCTCAAGTTAGGGTTTACTCAAGACTAAGCTCAGATGAAGTCAAGTTAAGCATAAACCGGGAAAATAAGATTGATAAAAAATAAGGTCAACAAGGCTAAACGACGATATTCAAAATATGAAAAAGAATTTTATGTTATCATTCAATCCTTGAGACATGGAGTCATTACCTTTTGCATAAGGATTTCAATCGTAACTCATATCATCATTCTTTCCAATCCAATAATACTCAACAAAAATTAAGCCATAGACATGCTAAATGGGTGGAATTCTATCAAGATTATTATTTTGTTTTCAAGCATATACCTATAATTGAAAATAAACATGTTGATGTCTTACCTAGGGTGACTTTAACTATAAGCTCTCTAGAACTAAAAATTTCAGGATTTAATTGGATCAAAGTTGAGTACCCTATGTGCCATAATTTTAATCAAATTTATTTATATAATATAAATAAACCTTGTTCCAAGGAATATTTTCTATTATAAATGGATATCTATTTAACGGAAAAAAATTTTGTATTCCTAGAACGTCACTTAAATAATTTTTAATCTCTGAGCTGTTTTTTGGAGGAATAGTTGGATATTTTGGAAATTATAAGACCTTCTTTTTAATAAAAAAGAAGTCAATTTTTTTTTGCCTTAATTTAATTTACAAGTTAAAAACTTAGTAGCCTAATGTTTGTCTTGTAAAAAAACTAAAACTATAAACAAAAATCTGGTCAATATGTTGCATTACTGGCACCTTATTGGCCTTGGTAAGATCTCTTTGTGGATTTTATCTTAGTATTACCTCACACAACTTGAGAACGAGATAGCATATTTGTCATAGTTGATTCTTCCTCAATGATGGCCTATTTCTTGTCATGCTTTAAACCAATGATGTTTTTTCATATTGCTAGATTATTCCTTAAAGAAATTGTACATATACATGGCCTACCTTTAACCATTGTGTCCGACCGTGATGTTTGAGTTGCTTCATATTTTTGGAAAACTCTTCGAAAATTATTAGGCACAAAATTAAAAATTTTAACTGCCTTTCATCCTCAAACATATGACCAAACTGTGGTAGTTAATCAAACCTAAGTAATCTCTTAAGATGTATTGTAGAAAAGAGTAGAGGAAATTGGTACTTGCAGTTATATATCTTTGAATTTGCATATTATAGTAATATTTTAGGAAAACAAAGACATCACCTTTTGAAATTGTTCATGACTAAAATCCCAAATGACCCATTGATATAGCTGACCTCCCCACCTCATGCATTCTCTAATTATGCATTTTATTTTCCAAAAATTTTCAAACCCTCCATGAAACCATAAGAAAGCAAATTACTTTAAAGAAGGAGACTATGTTCTGATTCACATTCACCCCCAGTGTTATCACACCATTATGTTTAAAAAATTACGTAAGAGCTTCTGGGCTCTTTAAAATTCTTAGGAAAATTGGATCTAATGCTTATCGCCATGATTTGTCTGTCTATATGATAGTACATCATGTTATTAATATTGAAAACATTCTATAATATGAATGAGTAAGCAAACCTCCACTTATTCAGATTAACTTTTTGGCAGGAGATCTAGTTCCACATGTGAAAAATCCCCCTTCCCTTGAAGTTGAATGTATCATTACTGATGAAGCAGCTATTGAGCACGATTTTCTAGTTCATTAGAAGAATATACTACCCATCGAAGACACATGGTTGACCCACATTGATTTGGAACTCTAGCCTAATAATTAGTAAAAGACCTCATAGATTTAAACTCTACCGAGAAGAGTTAAATTGGGCATGAGGGAGTTGATGTAGCACATCTTTAAATAAAGCCAAAGGCCCACTTGCAAGAGCCTTAGCAAGAGCAAAAAAAAGTGCCTAATTATGAGCCCATCACAAGAGTCCTATTAAGAAAAAATATTTAAATTTATATTTTATTATTTATATTTAAATTTTAGTTTATAGAATGTTTTAATTTTTAAACTTGAAGGATTTTATGCGTGGTCATAAAAATAATAAATCAGGAAGGTGATTAGCACCTTCCTCCATTAATGGTCACCTATCACCCTTCAATATTTTCTCCTCCTTTTATTGAATTTTTATCATTTTAATTCCTATAAATAGAATTGATATGTAATGCTTTGGATAAGTTGTTGAATGAAATATTTGAGAGAGAATTTTCTCTCTTGTTGCTTGGTGCTTGGTGGCTTTAAGTGTTATCTTTTTTTTTTTTTTTTGGTGAGATTAGATATTTATCTTTTCCTTTTTATTCATGTTATTCATTAATACTCCATGACATTTGCTCCTAAGCTTTTCACCACTCTTAATCCATATCGTAAGCTTATTATAATATTAATAAACCAGCAACCAAAGCCTCACAACCATTCCAAATCTCTTTTCATAGCCCCTGACTAATTAAGAGCATATTAAGGCTTAGTCTTACACCCTAACCCTCAATAACATTGTAAACCTATCCAATAACACCCATATAGTCCAAATAATAAGTAGACATTCTAATATAACCTTAAAAATCATTTATAGCCATTTACCTAATCTTAAGCCAGTTTCATAAAGAGATGCTTCAAATCAGCCAGCCTAATTTAGACTAATCTTGATATTTTAGCTACCATTCCCTCTTAAATCTTTCAACATTCCACCAAAACCTCCACCACATCACATCTTTAGACCTAACACCAAACATAAATACAAACTTTTAGTACTTTATCTCATCAAATGGCCACCCAACTCCATTATTAATAACCTCAGTAGCTTTTTTGAGAGGAACAAACAAATGACTAACCACCTATAAAGAGCTTTTAAAGGATCGACAAATTATTGATATTTGGTCAAGGAGGAGACAAGATGGACCTCACTAAGAATGATTCAAAGAGAATTATTAGTGGGCTTATGTAAACATATTTATAATATGTATTTTGATATGTATAAAAATGTATATCTATATGAGATTGTAATTGTTAATAATAATAATAATAACAATATGAATATGTAGAACTCTTTCCAAATATTTATAATCTTTATATCTTTCAAATATGTGTCAAATTTAGAATGATCCTTATATATCCATAGTGTAGGTTAAGTTTATGTAAAAATATTTCACTTGAAAAAAAATGATATGATATTGACACAAGCACATACCAAAAGTAAAAGTTAATCAACAAAAAGAGCGGGTAATATAACAAACTGGCTTATTTAAATGAGCATGCCTAAGTCATGACAAAATTTAATTAAGAGAAACATGACTGAGTCTTAAAGAATCCTAAAAGGAAGGTGCCAAATCAAGAGTATTAAGTTCAAGAAAGCTTGACTTTATGTGGTAGTGATTTAATCAAAAGTGTTTGATTAAGTTAATGATATACCTAGCTAAAAGTTAATAATGAGATAGACTTGGTTAAAAGAGTTAGTCTGATTAAAGAAAAAATATATTGAAAAAAATATGAATAGATAAAGATTAATAAAATAAAAAATATGAATATGAAAATAATAAATTATATCAAAAGAACTTAACAAGTATATGATAATTTCTCATTAAAAAAGAATGACTATGACAAAGAGTAGCATATGCATGAAAATATTAAGATTTAACTTAGTTAAAAGAGTGTAAACATCCAAATAATTTCTTACTTAAAAAGAATAATTAAGCAAGTAGAAAGCACATTCAAAAGAATATAAATATACTGTGCAAAATTTAAGCCGAAAGAAAGTGGCTAAGAAGGAAGTATAACAAGTGTGCATAACATAACAATCAAACAATTAAGACACCATTCAATTAATGAATTCATGCAAACGATGCAATGGGGTAAATTGAATGTTATTTGAAAGCATCTTAAAAGATATATGACTTACAATGATACTAAGCTTAAAGAGAAAAATGATAAATCACAATATAATATTATATAGGATATTCTCCTACTAATAACTCATCAATATTAGCAAATTAACTAATGCAATCAAAAGGGGTTAGTGTATGGCTTAACCCATACCAATCATTCCCTACCACATGTAAGAAGGTAAAATTTATATCAATTGTGATAAATAGTTAAAGTGCGGTGCGAAGACCATATGATTCTAGAGTCATCTTTGAATACAAGTGCAAGTTGCTGAATTCATATAACCAAAGAACATATGATGCCAAAAGATTGGCCAACTCAAGTTGACAAAAAAAATGTTCAAGATATTACACAATTGTACATAATATTCTATGTAAAAAAAATGTTATCAAACAGATGAGTCAAATCAAATAAATGTTAATTTTGATAATTTTGAATTTTGTTAAGATAAAAATTGAAATCTACAAGAAAAAACCCAAAATTGATAAATATAAAAATCATAATATTCAACTTATGGATACTTGAAATTGAAACTAATGTTTGGGAATTGAAAATTGATGTTGTGAATATTAAAATTTTTAAAATTTAATTCAAAATGTTTGTCATGTCAATCCTTTTTTTCCCCTTAATTCCATGATAAAGCCTCGGGCCATAAAAATGTGAAATGTAAAATTTATGGGCTAGATTTGTACATATAAATGAATTAGATGGTTGTATATAAATGCCCCTTTATAATATGGACTATTTTGCAATTTCATCCACTTGAAGTCGGTTCCACATGACTTTCTCCTGACCGACTTTTCAGAAAGGCTTGATACCTCGTTTACAAGTTCTTATTCCCTCCAAGGTCCCCAAAAGCCGGACCGCTCTGATTCGCTCCCAAAAATCACGCTTTGCATGCGCCGAACCTCATCCCTACCCCCGAGACCACGACTCAAGCGTGCCGGCCCAGAAACAGCCAAAGTCAAGCATACTTCCCAGCTCCCTCCTCCCACCCTACGTCCCTTTTTTTCTCCGTACCTTCCTTTCTCCTCCACTAGAACACAGTCCTTGACCAAGAATTCAAAACGCCTTCCTTGAAAGACCTATTAGTCCTTCCTGTCGTCCCCCCTTCCCGCAAAACTATTCCTTTCTTCCTTTAGTCATCTTCCTCCACCTCCCCATACCACCCAAAACTGCATTAAAGAAACATATCCTACTTTCTTCCCAGTCTTCCCCAATTCTATATATATTCTTTTTTTCCCTCATCCCACCAACAAAAAGCTCGAGTCTTGATCATGGAGTCCCATTCCCTCTGCCTCGACCTCACCATCGGTTTTCCCAACCACAGCATTGTGCAAGAGCCAAGCGCTCATGCGTGCCTGCAGGAGGAGCTCAAGCGTGTTACCGAGGAGAACAGGAAGCTTACATCGATGCTCGCCGACATGTGCGAAAGCTATGACGAACTTCGAGCTCGGATGATGGACATGATTGGATCCACCGCCGAGCTAGCGTCCTCCGACGGAGCGCGGTCTGGTTCCCCAACGCCGGCGAAACGTAAGAGCTGTGAGAATGCCAGCAACGCGGCCAACAGCGTTTCGAGTGGGTGCTCTTTTAAGAAGGCGAAGGAAGAAGTATCTAAGCCGAAGATCTCGAAGCTGTACGCTAGAACAGATCCATCTGATTCAGGCCTGGTATGTGCGTTGTGTTTTTTTGTTCTAATTTTCTTTATTTTTTTTGGTTGGAGATGGATTTTGAGATTAGATGGGATATGTGCAGGTGGTGAGGGACGGATATCAATGGAGAAAGTATGGACAGAAGGTTACGAAGGATAATCCATGCCCGAGAGCTTATTACAGATGTTCGTTTGCTCCCATTTGCCCTGTAAAGAAGAAGGTGCAGATTCTAATCCAAAACTAACAACTTTATCATTCCTGATTCATTCTTTTGATTTTATCGTTAGAATATTTTGATTTATAGAATATAATTAATTATCTTGATGATGATTTTATAAATCAGAAATACTGCACTGGCTTCAGACTGCTCTTCTAGATTTATTAATTGCAATAAATTTTAATTAAAAAATAAAACTTTTTGTAATATCACTATTAATAAACTTTAAAAAATTAAAAATGATCAAATTTTAAACCTTTATGCCGTATTTTTTTAGTAGTTTTAGCTGAAAACTCGATTGATTTTATTTACTAAATTAAATTTGATTTGCTGAACCAGGTGCAGAGGAGTACTGATGATCAGGGCATTCTAGTAGCCACTTACGAAGGGGAGCACAACCATCATCAGCCGTCTCCGGCTGACGTGCAAAACGCTATTAGCCGGAGAACCGCCGAGCCGGCGGATGGTTTCGGAGCTGCCGGAGATTTGGCGAAGAAGGATAGCAGGACAGAAGGAGTGGAAGCGCAGCAAGCAGAGCAGAGTGAAAGACTTGTGAAGAGCATGGCTTCATCGCTGACAACAGATCCAAACTTCACGGCAATTATGACGGCGGCGATCTCCGGAAGGTTATTTGCCATTCCCACACCGCAGGGGAAGTGAGAGTATCTTGTCATGCTTTATTTTTGGTTTCTTGATCATATAGATATAGATATTGATAAAGGTTCCATTCTTACATTTCAATCTTCTTTTGATCAACAAAATGTTGAAATTTGGTTTATTTAGACATGTATTAAAAATCGCAATTTTATGCATCCAGTTGCCTAATGTTAATATATATATATATATATAGACACACACACACATATATACATATACACATATATAATTCTTGCTCCATTTAAATAAAATTTTGTGATTTGCGTTGAAATAAGCACATTGTATGTATGTTATGGGGAATCATGTTGGATGCCGGATGTCATCTCTATGGAGACTTTTTAGCATTTTGTTATAATGTTATTGTAAGGATCATTTCAATAGAGTGAAAAAGAAAAATGAATATTAAATTGACGTGCCATAATTTTTAGATAATGGAAAATTAGGATAGAGGAGAAGCACTAAGGAGAACTGAATAAATTCATTTTGATTAATGTCTAATAGTCACAATTTGAACCTATATGTAGACTTGCAAAGACTTATTATATTACAATGATTACCGAATAAGTATGCATTAGCTCATGACTATAATGATCCATAGTGATGCATGACTCAAGCTCAAATTATTCATTACAATTATTTTTAACCCTATCATTTCCTTTACCTTTAAAACAATTCTTTCCCTCAAATTGGAACTTTAAGCAAGTTAAATGAAGTCTACGTAATAAATTAATATCATATAATATAGCTAGAATATTAGCTCATATGTGGGAAATGAGTGACACTGTAGCCATACTTCCTCCTAGCAACCCATTGTAAGTAACATAGATGGTGGCGATTTATGTACCCACTCTTTGTTCCCTGTAATTGTTCTAATGTGGATGGAGTATCTTTGATATGCTAGGATCTTTATGAAACAAATTTTGAAAGAGCACTAAATTTGTTAGTTGATCAAAAGATGATTCTTTGATTGTTATTTGAGCCAAAATATGATTATGAGCAATTAGTTGCATTTAGCTAATGGTCATAGTGCATTGCAATGCTCCTACCATCCACACATTAAAAAATTATGTACAACAACCTAAAGCTTAATGTTGCATAGTTGTGCTACTCATCTACATCAATTTAATATGCCATAATCAAGTTATGCTCAAATTTTGCTTTAAGATTAGTCATATTTAGATTTATATCAAATGAAAATTTTCAAAATAAACAAACTTTTTTTTAATTATGTTGATTCTGTTTGACATTGTAGTTGTTGCAAGTTGTATCGATTATCAGGGTAACAAATGAACTTCTACAAGTAGTTGGACTAATAAATTTTTGGTGAAAGTCAGGCTAGATTGGTGGAACCCTTAATAAATACTCCAGTTAAAGTAAACACATCTTATTGCTGAAAAAAGGAGAAAGCATTTATTAAAGGCCCGAAAATCAAGCTAAGAACATAATTCTTTTAATCGTCTTCTCGGTCTCTTAACATCATTATTTGTTTTCCCTTTCTTCCACACATATTCTAACCTGCTACTGTTTCCCCTTCTTATAGAAGAATCCCCAGAGATGGATTGACCTTTTGCTACAGTAAAAAAATGATAGTAATTTTTGGTAAAAATGCGTGTTGGAAAATGATGGCAGAGGCGAGCTATGCTTCCATGGTATGCCACGCTATACTAGCTGTGGAGACTAGATTGTTCTCCCCTCCCCTCCCCTCAAACTGAGAGTGTTTGGCTTGGAGGGTCGGTTTGAAGAGTAGAGTGTGGAGGGTCAATTTGGTAAAGATGTCTGATATTTGGCCTTGGGACATATTGTGATTGAGAATGATTTCAAATTGTTGTATGTGGTCCTTGAAGAAGTGATAGTCCACTTCAATGTGCTTTGTTCTTGCATGAAAAACAAGCTTATGTGCTAGAGCAATTACTAAAGTGTTGTTGCTAAAGTGAGGAGTTAGTGGGAGTTGAGTTTGTAGCACCTCAAGTAGTAGACATCGAAGCTAGTAAATATATGTTGTCACTGAGGCCATAACTATATTTTCTACGTTGGTGAAGGAGCAGGCTATGGTTAGTTGTTTTTTTCGTGAAATTGTTCCCTCTCCCGTTTGTTGGTGAACCGCTCCCGCCAACTCCCGCGAACGTTCACGAATCGTCGCGCCTTGCTTCCTGTTCGTGATAAAAGGCATCGCACGCACGACTCTCCTTTAAGTTTTGAAGCACGGTCTTTTGTTCTTCTTCCTACTTCCATGGAACAGTGGAAGGACTTCCACGGGAGAGTGGAAGAGAAGTGCAAGCATTAGTTCCTTACGACAGAAGAAGAAGAAGAAGATTGTTCTCCCTTGACTTCTTCTTGGTGTCTTGTGGCAGAAGACAAATTGGGTTTATTTCTCTTATTAGTTTATCTTTTTTGGTGTATTTTGGTGTAGAGAGAGAAGAAGAGAGAGCAACAAAGTGAGAGATTCCTCTTGTAAGTCGAGACGATCGACTGATGTAAATTCTTTAAGTATTAAAATCCTCTGCAACTTCGTGGACGTAGGCAATTTGCCGAACCATGTAAATCTATGTGTTCTGCTGTGTTACTGTTTTCTGGTGTGAATTTTCTTGTTCTATTTTTTTTTCATCCAAGATCCTTCTTCTATTATATATATATATATATATATATATATATATATACCACAACAGATGTGTATATATACCACAACAGATGTCTTGTAGGTTTAGTATGTTGAGGGGTTTGAGGGATTTGGTTTTTATGAGGGTGGTCATATGATGTTTTTTATTAGGGGGTGGTGGTTGGTTGGTTGATAGATTCAGGTATTCTTGTTTGGGATGCCTCTATTTAGTTCAATGTGGTATGAGAAGAGGACTGCTTTTGTGGGAGTGGCTGTTGTTGTGAGGTGTGCGATATGTTGAGGGTGGATGTTGGAACGAGAAGGGAGGGGGTGGGTTGCTCTATGTGGGTGTTGAGTTTTATGAGAGGTGAGAGGTGTTAATTGTGCTTCAATGAATGTAACATGTCTGGAATGAATGAGTTTATGGTTGTGAAAGTCACAACATTTGTATCCTTGATATTGGGGGTGATACCCCAGGCAAATGCATAGTAGGGCTTTGGATTCAATTCTATCGTGTATTTTAGGTTGTTGGCAAGGATAGCAGGCACAACCAAAGGTGCGCAACTGATCATATTTTGGTTTGGTTTGATAGAGTAGTTCATGAGGTGTTTAGTTGTGTTGGAGGAAAGAAAATTTATTAGATAAATGGTAGTTAAAATAGCATCTAGCTAGAGTTTTTGTGGTTGATAAGCATGATTGAGAAGCGTTCTAATTGTCTTAATGATATGTCTATATTTCTTTTTGGCTAGGCCATTTTGCTCGTGTGTGTGGGTAGAAAATTTAATGTTTAATTCCATCTTGTTGGAGGTATGCTTTGAGGAGGTGTGATGTAAATTCTCCCCCTCCATCAGTTCAGAGAATTTTAATTTTCTTATTAAAATGAGTAGAGAGGAGTTTGTGAAAGTGAATAAAGTCATGGAATGTTTCTGATTTGTTATACATTGGAAATATCCAATAGTAACGAGAATGAGCATCAATAAACGATATATACTATTTGTAACCATTTGTAGAGGGAACTGAAAAGGGGCACCATACATCTAAATGTGTAAGTTCTAACAGATTGTAACTAGAATTGCTTTTTGGAAAAAAAACCAATCTATGACTCTTGTTTTGTAAACAAGAAGAACATGGTGGGTTAGAGTTTGTTAGACTGGTGTTGGTGCGTGTCCTTGATAGTTGTTGCAGAATTCTATATTGTGGTGTCCAAGTTGCTGATGCTAGTTTGGTTGAGATGTGGAGCAAGTGAAAGCATTGGTTGTTTACAGGCTCTGTTTAACTAGACCTGAAAGAAGGGTCTTCTGTTTGGTCTGGTCTTGTATATATAAATGATAGGCATCAAAGTATAGAATACATTTATTGTCTTGTGGTAGTTTTTTAACAGAAATGAGGTTATGAGAGCAATGTGGTAAGTGATGAAGTAAGGGCAGATATAGCTTATTGCTCGGGATGGAGAGGATGGCTGAGCTTTTGTGATAGATGTTGGAGGTTTGTTCCTTGCCTACTATGACTTGTGTGTTGCCTTGATAAGGGTTGGGATGGTGAAGGTTTTCCAGATGGGGAGTAAGGTGTGCAGTGCCTCCAGTATCTAATACCCATTAATTGTGGTGGGAATTGGTGGAGGCATCGAGGGCTGTGAGTGATGTTGGGTTCTTGGGTTTGTATTGTATGTTGGCCCTGTGCCAATAATTTGCTATGAAGCTATCTGGTTTGAGGCATATTTGGCTTGTTATGGATTGTCTATTCTTATTGTTGGAGGAGTGGTATTTAGTTTGTTGTTGATATGTTTTGGACTTGGTTTGCAGTCGTTTGGTTGCTAGTTTTGTGTTGTGTAGGTTTTTGGTTTGGATGTGTAAAGTGCTGTGGTCAATTATTTTTGGGTGGTTTCAATGGCCAGGTTTGATTCATTAATGTGAAGCAAGGATTAGAATTCTTCCAGTTTGATGAGATACAGTTGTGTGCGTATAGATGTCTTAAGCCTCTGAAATTGCTGAGGTAGTCCATTCATTGTGTGGAGTATGATATCCTCATTGTCGATTGTGGAACTTGCAGTGGCAATGTCATTGAACATTGTCTTAATGTGAGGTAGGTGCTGAGACATTGTGTTGCTCTCCATAGTAATGTTATGGAGCTCACTTTTCAATTAGATAACCTAGATGTTTTTACTGTTTGAAACCACCTTTCCAGTGTTGTCCAAATTTGAGCAGTAATTTAGAGGTGTAAAACATATGGAAGTATAGAGGTGGAGATGAGTGATATAATTATTGTTGTGAGGCTTTGATCAATTAAATGCCATGGCTTGAAATCCTAATTTTCCTCAAAATTTCTGATTCATTTTGTATGAATCATGGAAAAACCGTAGTGAGTTCTAAGAGAAATTCTTCAAAGCCATTGGTGAGATATAACTTGTATATTTCTGTTTTCCAAATCTGGTAATTGTCGAATTGCATGAGTGATGTAGAGATGGTTTTGAAATTTTAGAGGAGTTGGAATGATGATCTTCTTCATTCTGGTGATAGTCATTCTTGTAGGCTGGCTCATTCTT